GGGAAAGAGAGAACTCCACTGGTGTGGGCCTTTCCGGAGTTTGCAATTAGTTAGGATTCCTTTATCTCTAGATTCTTTTACTGCCCAGACAAAAGACACCTCATAGGCAAAGTACGTATTTTGTCCGCTTCTAACTCCTGATCCATACCAAGTGCAACACTCCACTGCTGTTTTCAGCTATGAAACTTGCATTACCAGCAGCAAGACACTTTCTGAATGTAATGTGCTGATGACCAATGTCAAACAAAGCGTAAGGCAATCTATTTCTATTTCCTGTTTTAAAAAAATTTTGTCTAGGCAAACCAGGACCCTGTACTTAAAATACTGAAAAAAGCATTTTCAAAGACTAAATAGCACAGTCTCCAGAAGAAACTAAGCTTATTACTTTATGTTATTACATGCAGGTTCATGTCAGTCTGTATGTGTAATTAGTTATTTTTCTCCAGCTCAGACTTCCAACCTGAGCTGTTAGAATAGCGAATATGGCATAGCTGTATTTGTAGCTTCAAACATTTTAGGTTTGGTTTTCTTGATGCTTCCTACACAATAAAATTATAATTTAAGAATGAGTTTACATTCAGTGCTTTTAATTGTTTCACAGCTAGATACTTTTTCTTGGCAAATTCACCCTCCAGAGAAAATGATGAGGATTACATTTCTCTCCTTCGGCACACAGTATTCAGTATGACAGGTATCTGAAGAGCTATGCAGCCTCAAATTTCTGGTTTATGAAAAAGTATCACCAGATGGCAGTAGAAACCCATCCTTGCCTTCAAACTCCTTAAGGCTAGATGGAACCATTACAAGCTCTACTGCCAATAATTTCACCCACTAGTTCAGCATCACAGATATTTGTCCTATTTGAATGCAGTATTTACCTTCTAAAGACAAACAGTTTTTCCAGTAAGTAGAATTTAATCTTTAAAGATCTATCAATAAAATACAGTTCAATACAGTTTGAAACAGACCAACTAACATGACAGGTTTTGGTTTTTTTAAGGGAGGCAAACTTTTTCTTCTCTCCAGATCCACGCTGATCAGCTAAAGCTACATACACAGGCAGTTTCCTAAAAGCAATTCAAATACATTTGTTCTTAAGCCTGTACACTAGAAACAATTGTGAGTAATTACTACATGGAAAACAAGAGCAAGAAAAGCTAGTCATGTGACCTGCCACCACTAAATGCTTATACTGTTCTTTCACTCTCCAGCAAATAAGGATTTAGCAGCACTACAGAGACAGCAAGCTCATTTGGCTATAGATACCAGACACCTTCATGGTGTTTTTTAAAAGAAGAGAATCTGTAATTTTACAGCTTGACAGAGAGTGCATGGATCAAGAGTGCACAACATAACACGATACAGATATCGCACAGTACAGAGAGTTCCCAAGTCTAAGACAAAAAACATCAGACAGGAAAATTAAGGAAGGGAAAAATATCAAGGTAGCAAGAGAAGTAGAATGGCAAATAAACTGAGTCTGAAAAGAGATCTGATTTTCTTTAAAATAAGCTGGATTTTGGTCCAAATGTCCCATTTTAAAATGAACCCATCCCATATTTCCTCAAATGTGTATCACTGATTTACACAGCAATGAACTACTACCCTTTTCACTGCTACACCATTAAGCTCCACTGATCCAATACTTTACTTCTGAAAGAACTCCTCAAACTGTTATTTACGTAAAACTGAGGCTGCAACGAACACCATGTATACAAGAACAAATGCTAGATTTAAATCCCATCGACCAGATAATGTTCCAGGATCTAGTTCTCAGAAAAAAAAACAGACCACCGAAATTGAGAGCAAAACTCTAACTTTCTATCTCCTTCTTTCCAGAGCTACAAGACTGTCAGACTATGAAATACAAAGAATTAAGAATAAAAATTCTATCTTGCAAAACCTCCCTAGTATCCACAACATTCTGAGTAAGATTTGCTCAACAAAGTCAAAGATCTGCTGAGGCACTTTCAACATTACCTAATTTGGTCTACCTCTGGGACTTTTGTTCACTCTTCCCCCTAGAATTTCACAAGTGGTGAGTTGCTAGTGAACACATATTTAAAGGACAGACATGAATCTGGAGAGTTCACAGGCCTTCTGGTTAAGTTCCCAGTACCTCTATGATCTTTAAATCTAGTCCAGAGTCAAGTTAATGTATACATTTAATTTACAGTATTAGTTAATTAACAGTTTGAAATTCTCATCTACTTCTATACCACATAGCAGGAGCAGGAAGAGAAAAAAAAATTAAATTGAGGGTACTGGAAATATCCTAGTTCCTTGCACTCACATAGCGTTATTTAATTAGAAAAGTCCCAGCAAATGTCACAATTACAGCTTAATTTCTTTTCTAAACCTGGAAACCTAAACTCTCACATTTTTTTCTTTTTAAATAGGGACTAGAGGTTTGATATTGCTTTGTTTGTTTGGGTTTCAATTTTTCAGCTGAAAATAGAAACACTTCAACAGGCTAAGATTTACTCACTCTGGTTATTTTTTCTGCTAGTCTGAACTTCTCCTACAGGAATAGACTGCAAAGCTGTCATAATCCTCTGAGCGGTATCAGATAAAGGCACTTTAGAAGTCTCACATCCTATGTATGATGTGTACCATTCCATTTTTAAGATTAAACCTAAACAGAGAACACACACAAATTATGCATGATATCAGGGCCACAGAACAATCTGCAGTTACATCTTGTTGAAATTAAAGACAAAATATAATGAACACATTCAGCCATTCATTCTCAATAGAAAATAACACTTCCTCCCTGACATGCCTATCAGTTTCTAAGTATTGCAAATAAAAATTAGCAAATTATAATAATTTACAAAAACGTCTTTGAAACAGTGAAAGTGTTCTAATACACCGATAAAAAAATTAAGCAGTCCTATTAAGTAAAGCTAATTTCTAATAAAAAAATCTGACAAATAAAACCAGAATTATCATTTATGTCTGAAATATTTCCCCCCTTCCTCAACATCTTTAAACTAGTCTATATCTAGTGTGTGCATACATTTACTGTTATTGGTGCTCAGATTTTATCAAGGAAAAAACCTTTCAAGTAACTGCAAAAATAGAGCCAACACAAGATGAAAGAAACAAGTATTACTATCATGATATACAAACATTAGTGATATGTTATTTCAGAAAAGACTTATCAAAAAAGACCTCTATTCCTTAAACTGTATAATTGATGTACTCAAGCACTATTAAATATTAATAACATTAAAATAGTTACTATAGTTCATTTGTCAATTTAAGAAACAGGTCAGCAACATCTAAAGTCTCTACAAGTTTGACTGCAGCTATTACTGTTCTAAATTTTATCCTTTTTTGAAAAGCAGTTGCTTTTCCAGTTGACCTGTAGCCATATTCTATAATACATACAAAATACTTGAGAGCGCCTACATACAACACATATGGGAGAATTAGAAACAATGGTGTCCATACTGATGACTTGGTTGACTTTATATAGTTAGACCAGAACAATGCATAAAACTTACCAAAAATACAAGATAAATACCCAACATTTTCAAAATATTTAAAGGATTCAAGCTGTACAAGTCAATTGCTCTTACCAAAAACTGCTGTTAAGTACATTATTCCTATACAAGTTAATAACTGGAGTCCTGTTACTCTGGTCTTCTCCCACTAAATCCAGTGCATGAGTAGACTTTCAAGTCAAGTTTAACCATCAAGTAAACAGTATTTCCTCTGCTTACATGGAAATATTTTTCTTAGCTCAGGACCATAGGCAGATTGCAAGTTTGAATACTTACAAATACAAACATTTGTATCCAGATTCAAAGAGGAACATCCACCACCTGTATTAGTATTGGCTATATCTATCTAGCTCAAATTTTATAGTAAGCATGCTAAAGGGAGAGAGAGGCAGAATGGCTTCCTTTTCCATGACATACTAGGCATCAGAAGTAGAATCTTTCCCCACATACAACTCCTCCTAACTTTTATAATTAAGAGCAACGCTTCTTTCCTACACAGGGTAAAAACGCTCCCTGACTTCTCAGGGTGGGAAGTGGCAGTCTTAAAGCCTCAGGGGCATATCAAAATGAGAACCTAGCAGACTAAATATAAACAAGACACTAGGCATGAGAACACACCTAAAACCAACACACAGATTCACCATAAATATTGACAACACTGAAATGAATTTATAGTGTTTGGCATTTAATAATAAACACAATGTATAGAGTTAAGCAGCATGAAATCCAGATATAAAGACATCCAACCAGTAAGTTCAAAAAAAAAATTAAACATTTAAAAATAAGTTATATCACATAAAACTTAAAAGTCTGCCATCAAAATAGTTTTAAGACTACTGTTACTGAAGTTAAAGCTAAGTTACTAACCTTCATCAATATATACAACACTTGAAAGCACGCACAGCTGATCCCATCAAAATATAAAAGACTGGAAGTTATCATTCTATTAAAGCCTATTTAGTTCCATTGGTATATTAGGAAGCTATATAAAAATTTGATAAACAGTACTATTTAGTTCCATTGGTATAAGGAAGCTATATAAAAATTTGATAAACAGTCTAACAATGCACATGAAAGCAGAAGTATGAAAGCATCAGGACTCTGAATTCAAATGCCTATTATTATAAATTAAAGAGCAAACTCAGAAGTCCAAACGGTAAATTTAAAATTCTTTCCCTTTGAAGAGCCCAGTATGCATATGGACTGGTATCAATGGAGAAGATAGGCCATAAGTTAAATT